CCCCCCCCCCCCCAAAGTTATAAACTTGTTATATATTTCTATATAAAAAAAAAGATTGAATTGTAGATCTTGCGAGGCTGTGACATGTTTGACCCGTTAATGGGTCAACATATTGCTACAGAGAGAAACTGGTAAATTATGAATATTGGTTAACATTATGAGAGGAGGGCGAAATTGTATGTACCTACCTAAGGCCACAACGTGAAGAATATGACAGTTTACAAGTGTTTGTGGTAGCTGACACCTCCCCCCTCAGGTTGGTGGACTGCTCTCACGTTTTATATTTTGCGTCTTATATTATACGACAAATTAATATAATATAAGACCGATGTACGGCCCATAAAATATTAAAGGCCCCCTTTAGCTAAACGGGTAAGGCCGCTCTTGTGTTGCCTCGTTCATACTTGGAAACCGAAGGTTTGGTCAATTTGAGGTTGGGATTTAATTTTAACCTACACAATAGAGTTAATCGTTTATATAGTTAGTTATATGAAGGATAAGTACGGAAATTAGGACGGTTCGTATGGTATTTGCATATATTTAAAACCATTTTTACGTTTGAAATAATAGATTTAAGATAGGGTTATGGGCATTTATTGTTTTCAACCTACCGTGTCAAATCTATATAATTATAATGGAATCATTAATCAAATATATGGCACGAGGGTCATTAATCAATCCAAATATGCTTTTGAAGAATTATGCAAATAACGAGATAAATAACCACAAAATTAAGCAAATAAGAACTTATAGGGTTTGTAACATGTGGATCAAAATGACAGATACAGTGCCACAACAACACACAGTCTTAATGAAACGACCATAATCTATCGAATAAATCAAAAGGCAACATGCAAATAGAGAGAGAGAGAGAGATTTCATAAACATGGCAGCATTTCCGGTTATCGCTCATGTAAAGTCATTCTAAGCCATGGGACCTGATGAAAATTGGATGGAAAAAAAATTAATTAATAAGTGAATAAACAGACAAAAACAAATAATTAAACAGTGTAATGAAGTGATTATTTATGGTCCTCCAAAAGATACAAAGAGCCTTTCTCTTTGTCCAAAAAAGGAGTTTTTGAGGGACCACTTAATTATTGCATTTTATAAAACCCTTTTCTATAAATGAAAATCTGAAGTGATTATCCACAAAATGATGAGACTTTGTTTAAGTAAATTTCAAATACTCGAGAAAAAAAAAATTTATACATGGATTAATATGTGTGAAATACATGTTAAGATTTGTAATGTGATAAAACAGAACATGAAATTATAGTTTTTATCTTTTGCCCTATATTCATTAAATTTTTTTTTTTCAAATTAAAGAAAAGTCTCTGCCAAAAAGCAAAAAGAGTTGTTCATAAAAGAACATTTTCCTCACAAAATTTTTTATATTTCCGGATTTTGAAAATCGATTTCGATTTTGTACAGGGATTCGTTTTAATACATCATTTGAATTCATTTGAAACTGTACACCAAACATACTTTATGTACTTAGGAGTCCATGAATATACATGCATAAGCATTTCCATTCATAGATCGGAATGTATAGATTGCATGTATGTAAAGGCGGAATATAATATGCATGCACTGACCTGGAGTTACAAGAAGATGGATCGATTCAGCCGCTTCACATTTCTTGATTGGCTTGCTCATTATTCCGTCCGATTTACAGATTTTTCCCACGTCAGCATCTGGATGGATCTTCCTCTTCAACATCCTCTTCATCATCTGCGATTTCACCGCATGCCCAAGTAAATAAAACTAGTAAAATGTTGCGATGTGACGTCATTTCGTTAATGTTTCATGACATTAATTAACCCTAGCTAGCTGGTGAGGTTCTAATCGGACGTTACCTGGCGCAGTTTCTTGATGGGACGTGAGTCTTGATCTTTGGCCCGTGACATGATCTTCTTGTCGAACGAGGGATCACTTAGTTTCGAACCACTGGGCTTATATTTACCGTCACTCGATTCGATCTCAAGAGGGTCCAAGCATTTCTCGAAATCTACATCTTCTTCGTCCTTGGAGAAAAGCTCGGCCAAGGTCGTCCTCTTCTTCCCGCAGCGGTCAACATCTGACAAGGGCATCAAGTCGAGGCAATCGACGGCTCTGACCGATTCGGAGTCCATGATCTCGATCAACCCGAGGTCAACCCCATTGTCGGATCCGACAACCTCGTCATACCTGGGGGAGATCAATGGATCTAACTCCCCCCCTCGGTTGGCGAATTCATCGTCATCAAGGTCCATGCTTTCATCACCATCTCCGACTTCTTCATCTTCACCATCATCCACGGAGAAATCGTCTTTTCCTTTGTGGTCGGAGTTTTTCAGTGTGTCAAAGCCGAACGTGCCGATGGTGAGAACTCCATCGACCCAATTATCAAGAACGTCGACCAATCCGACTTGGTCGAGTATAGCTTTCGTGTTCCTCTCGATCTCACTTGGTTCATTCTTCTTCACGTTTTTCACCAACCCTTCTGTTTTTTTCCCCCACAAAATTACCGTTTCCAAAGCTGTTAAAAAATCATATTTATGCATACATACATATACATGCATGCATACACGCTAATGGTGGATTTGTTTTGGCAAATGCCAAAAAGTACGAGACGTACGGGTGGATATTTATGTTCATGTTTTCTCAAGGAAGGTCTTTTAAAGGGTACTGAACAATTAAATACGGAACCGCACTATAAACAAGCAAGCAACAATATGAGACCACATGATATATGTTACATATATTACAAGGAAACAAATAAACAATATGATATTAGATTCATATTCTCACCTCACCCAAACGCAATGACACAAAAAATTTAAATGAAAAAAAATAAAAACCAACCTTTGATGACATTTTGGTGCAGCTTCCTCTGTACCCAGTTGAAGATCTACAAACAAAAATTCCCAAAACGAATTGAAAAAATGTGAGACTTTGAAAGCAGAAAAAAAAAAGAATAATATATATATACACATATAAAATAATGAAATAAAAAAAAATACTGCACCTTCATCGTTTTCTTTGCTTCTTGTCAGTGGAAGAGCGAAGCCGCTGTCGAGCAACAATGGAATTCGTGACGCTGAAGAATAAATCAACGGGAGAGATCAGAGAGTGAGGGGGGGCAAAAGAGGAGTGACAGGACGCTCCAGATGATGCCACGTGTAACAACTCATGAGATGGGTCCCATCATAACCTTTTGGGTTTGCATTGGCCAATCAGTGAGAGCCACCTGCGAAACTGTTGTGTATATCTGGCATGTTTGATTCCACCGATGTTCTTACATCTCAAATGTCCCTCGATTTTACACCCAACCATTTTTTTTAAAAAAAAAATCTTTTTAATCCTCATTTAATTTCCCTCTTTGGCTGCTGTTGCCATGTGTTTCTGCTGGTTTTAGGCTCTGTTGATGTGTTATCTGATTTGTCCTCGCCAATATACGCAGTAATTACAAAACATCACAATAAAAATATTGTATTTGTACGTGAATACGTATTCCGAATATCATGGTGATGGGTAGAAAATAATAGAAATGGACATACGGAACAAATTCTAAGTAACCATCACTTCCATACAGATACATGAACAGACATTCACTATTTTATATTTAATTTATAACTTAGCAAGAAATATGTATGTGTATATATAATTTCTTTCTGTCAACTTTGGATTCCCATTGATTTGGCTCATCCCCGACATAGTATGCCCCATTCATTCCACCTTAATATTTTCGCTCATAATATTCAAATGCAAATTATATTTTCGTTTAAGTGTATATTCGTTATTACTTGATGGAGAGAGCGATTTAGTCACTTTCTAATGTTTATTGTCATCTGCTGATACATGTTCATTTGGCCTCTATAACTCTAATCATACAGGTTTCCGTAGTCAATAGTACTATATATATATATATTCATAATTGATGCTACACTCGAATACATACATATATATATATATATATATATATATATTTATTCATAATCGATGCTACACTCGTATATGCTTGATCGGTCGCCATATATAAACAATGAACCATTTCGCATCATAGTAGTAACCTTTTGTACATAAACATCAAAATGTAGGGCAAGTCTTATGAATGCATTATGCGTATGATATCTAATCTAAATTCCTTTAATTGAGAGACAACAATGTTATGTCGTCTGACCGGCTTGATTCGTGTAACCATTTATATTATTAGGGAGAAGGAATGAATATAATTGAGGGGAAGAGGCCTCGTCGGATACTTATCACATCTTATAAAAACAACAGAGAGCCATGCACATGCAAGTACCCAAAAGCTTTTTTGACGAGAGCATACGTTGCCCCACCCATTACAATTATACACGCTCTTCTTCTCTTTGGCCCTTTGTATTTTGTTACCATATGTTTGTTCTCTCCCATAATTAAACATGTGGATCGCAGTGCACGTAGCTATACTGTTTATTCCTTACCGTACCCTTTTTTTCATTTTTTTTTGGAAGAGAGAGTACATATATACTTAGCGTGAAATATTTAATATTCGTTTTTATTTCATTGGATTGTTTTTTTGTTAAATGGATAGATGTTGGGTGGCAAAACCCGATCATAAGTGACTGTGTAAACTGCCCTACGGGGGTGAAGAATTTATTTGTTATTGTTGAGATATACCGGATTTTGAAGAATATTACGAGATATATCGTATAATGGAGATCTTATCAAATCCGGAAAATATATATTTAGAAATATTTATCATTATGTCTGCTTTACTTATTCAATGTAAGACTCTCATCTATTTATATGTTATTTTGGTTATTAATAAAAATATCATTCCACATATTTCTACAGTTATATACTTTGACAGCTATACATTTGAAACAAATGCAGCGTATTGTCATGGAAATATTTTCCTTTTCATAAAGGATACGGGTTTTGCTGTTGTAATTATATATACTTCATTCGTAAAAAAAAAATTGTGAGTGTTTTGTTTTTGTAATCATGGGGAAACAGTTATAGGGTTGAAAAGTAAATTGGGGGTTAGTGGCCCGTGATATTCGTGGTACGTCTCCCGATGGAATTCCACTTTCTTAAGTTTTTATTCGGTGTGAAACGCCCGAAAAATGGCACGAATTAATTGAATCCGAGTTGTACGTCATGATTCAGAGCATGAAAACTCAATAATTATAATTTATTTTTATATATGATGTATGTATGTATATATAAAAGAGAGAAAACACGGGCCATGTAAAATGTTTTGGGCCATAAGTAGCAAATGGAGAGATATTTGGGCCTTTAATGTGAGCCCATATCAGTGTTAGGCCCATACATTCTCATACCGGAGAATTTCAGAATTTGTAAGCGTCCTTTCTTCAGCCACCAAAGCCTCCACATGAAAAAGCAGATTCCAAAAAGCGCTGAAGAATCGGAACCAATGACTGACTGTTAAATAAAGTTTCCCACTCAAACCTGTTTTTATTATTATTATTATTATTATTATTATTATTATCTCATACGAAATTGTAAAACATGACACTTTCAATTTTAAATCTTGATATAAAGAACACATCAAACAAACTTTAATCCAAAACCCTTTATTATTTATTTTCTCGCCGTTTTCCTCTGTGTTTTTAGTCTCCATCTTCATTTAGCTGTTGTCTCCATTTCCGTGTTTTTTGACGTGGAAGCCATTCCCTGGTTTCCTAGAGAGAGACAGATGAATTCCAGGGTCATGATGAGTCGCAGACGAATTATACACGATGGAGTTGTTGATCATTTGAACGTTGCTGTTCATGAAAGCTTTCAATGGCAGGGTTCCATTAGGGTTCTCCATCTTTCCTTTGTTCTTTGTCTTCTTCCCTTCTCCTTCGTCGCTGCTGCTGCTGCTGCCTCCGCCCTTCAAAACCCTAGCTTTCCCTGCCTGCGTGAGATGCTTCGGGTCGCCGCGTAGGATCTCCATTACAGCACCTTTGTTTTCACCTGCAATGGTGATGACCCGAGCGCCCATGTCCTCTGAATCCGACTGCGGAATCTTCTTGGTGACCTTGCCTTGGTTGTGTTGGAGATGTTGGTCCTTTTGCTGATAGAGGTTGCTTGATTTTTCAGCTGTCAGAACTTTTTTCTGGGTCGTGACGTCGTCTTCGTGTGAGGATCTTAGTTGAGACGGTGGGAGAGAGTAAGGCGACAGCTTCGGAGATGAGGCTTTCGGCTTCGGCGGCTCTGGCGGAGTCCGTGGCTCGGGCTTTATGGACCTCGCCGATGGATATTCTGGCGGAGGGAGCGGTTTCCGCGGAGGATCTCCAATGCGGACAAGAGCCTCCTTAACATCCTTAGTCGGAGACGGCGGAGATTTTGGAGCCGGCGGTGGCGGTGGCGGCGGCGACGATTGAACGGAAATTCTCGGCGGCGGAGTTGGCGGCGGGGAAACCACCGGACGCCGCTGTGGGGAGAGGGCACGTGGCGGGGGTGTCGGCTGACGTGGAGGGGGAGGAGGAGTGGTTTCTCGTTTTGGCGGGGAGGGAGCTCGCGGTGCTGGAGGAGGAGCCGGTGGTGGGACAACGGTCGCAGGCCTAACGACCGCG